GTTAATGCATTCATAAAATTGTACAGAAAAGAAGGTAATAAAGGACATGAGATCTGGCTGTATAAGGGATAATCCCATAGACAGCAGTATTTCAGTTTTGTAGGTAAAGACAGGAGCTGCTCTTCAGATGTCTGTTACATCATTTGCATATGTTCATCAAGCGAACAGAAGAAAGATATTTGTGGCAGAGCCTGTCCTCTCCCAGAGAGCAGACTTGCACAGTAAAGGTCTGTGTTCTCGACTATGAACGCAGCATATGAATGTGCTTCCAGGAAACTGACTTCTTCCTTTCAAACGGATTCCGTTAACTGCAATACATTAAAGGAAACATGCCAAGAGAGAAATGTGGAGGCTGCCATTGTGGTCTTCTTTTTAAAATGCTAGTTTCCCTGGCCTCATGCTGACCTTAGCCCTCGTTCACACCTGAACGTTTTGTAGCGCGTTCTACGCTCGACGAACGCTCTACAAAACGCTCAAACATCTAAATCCCATTGTATTCAATGGGTCTGGTTCACACCTTGGCGTATTTCAGACCATCCCTAACACGCTACAAAACGGCCCACGCCTGAAAAGGTACATGTACTTCTTTGGGCCGTTTTTGTTGCGAGTTTCCATTGGGATACAGCCAAGTAGCCCTCGGAAACGCGCGTTTGTCGCGCATTTTTTTTACCGCGAATCGCGCATATGCAATACGCCTACGTGTGAACCAGGGCTTACTGCTGTAGAACACTGAGGTATTGACCTGCAGCAAGCACACACATTGGGAAATTCTGACCTTCCTGATCTGCAATTTTTTTCCCTGGTAAATAACACATAATATATTGAAGCCATTGGCTCAGCACAACAGCCAGGCGACTAGCATTTTCATCAGGAGTTTAGCAATGGAAGCCTTGATGTGGGGCAGTAAAAGATGTGGCCTATGATATAATATGTCACAAAACAGCAATCCTGGACATAATCCTGGAAGAGGTCTATCCAAGACCTCTTACGCCATAAGGCGTATCTAAACCCAAAATCTAAAATGTAATTCTATTGCATCTTACCAATTTCTTAAAGGAGAACTACGGGGTTAAAGCTTTTCCCCATAGTTCTCCTTAGGGTAACGGGAGGACACAAACTAGCGTCCTCCCGACACCCTAGGCTCAGTATACCGCGAGCTGTAGCTACAGCTCGCGGTATACTGAGACGCCGCAGCTGAAGCGGATCCCGACAATTGTGCCGGGATACGCCCAGCTGTGTGATCGACAGCTGGCTCTGCCTATCTAGAGGCAGAGCCAGCTTTACCCCCCCCCCCCCCCCCCCCCCGCCCCCCGCGCCCAATTGTGCCGGGATACGCCCAGCTGTGTGATCGACAGCTGGCTCTGCCTATCTAGAGGCAGAGCCAGCTTTACCCGCCCCCCCTCCCCCGTCCGTTCCGCCAGTCAGCGCTGGCAGAGAGCCGTGACAGGATCGAGAGGTGAGCGAACGCCGGTATCTGTTCGCTCACCTCCCGATCTGAGCCGACCTGTGACAGTCTCATTGTCACAGGTCGGCTAGAACTATAAGGTGAGTGAAAAGCACTCACCTCATAGGTCTCCTTTAATGTGGTATCTGCATTAGTTTTCTTTTTTTAGGCTTTGGTTCCTTTATTTTGATCTAGCCAGTAACATTCTTCCTGTCCTAGGTTGGCTCCACTCTGTGGAGGAGCAACAGAGCCACCCTTGGAGAGCAGCTCTCCAGTGTCCATCTTCCCCTTCAAGTTTACAGGTTAGGTTTTGAGTTGTAAACCTCTAGCAGCTATAAAATACACAGACAGGTGAAATTTAATATGGAGAGGATTTATTATACAAAAGTATAAAAGGCAATCAGCCACCCCTTCCCATCCAATACATTAATTCTTCATTCAACAGAGATTTGTTTAGACAATAAATAAGAAAAAAACAACAAAATGAGAATTCAGACAGACACAATATAGAACATCAATATCACAGTTGCCAGATCCATCACACTATGTTTTTAGATATAGAATGGTCAATAGGTTCCAGATTTTCTACATAAGTCATTCGATCATTTCCTCGTAGCACCTTCACTGTATTGTACAGCGCTGGATATACATTTATTATTGGCACTTCAGCAGTAAAAAAAAAAGGTATGAATGGATGTCAGAATTTAGACAATTTTGTTTACCGTTTTACTATTCTGGGATAATGCAGAATATTCTGAAAGTTAACTACCGTGTTTCCCGAAAATAAGACCTACCCCGAAAATAAGACCTAGTGTGTTTCTTTTTTTGGCCAAAAAATATGTAAGAGTGTCTTATTTTCAGGGAAACACGGTAGGTTTGACAAAATTATCATTATACAGATCTAAACTGCTTTTCTGGTAATAACCAAGTACCTACTGATCTGAGACCAGCCATATGGAAGGCTGCCAACTCACAGAACTAGAAAGAGGTTGTGTCTACTACCTGAGGACAGGCGATTGACTCATTGACAATGCTGACCTTCCTAAAGATAGGCTCCAGTCAGCATTATATCTCACCCATTCATTTGTCGCCTGTTGACATAACCTGGTGCTAGTTATAAAATCAATGGTGTTGGAACCCATAAACACTGCATGCAAGTCACACAGTCCAATAGTGTCACTGCAATAGTCAGATGGTACTTTGGTATAGTTAGCAAGACAGCCTCATCTTTCTGATGCTACTTCTTTTATTCTGTCCTGACAAACAGTTAATGGAATATTCCAATCCAACATCATTTCACAATTGCATCAACTCGCAGCCCACCTTATTTTCACTTTGGCAGCCCTGCTAGCTACAACCATATAGTAGATGTGATACTCTGAAAAGCTTTGAAATGGAGCTTATAAGAAGGCAAGCCTGTGCGTTGTTCTCTGGTTCAGGATCTGCTCTCTTTCTTTGTTCACATACACTGGAGCACATCAGGGAGGTTGCAATGTTGTACCACTATCATGTGAAAAAAGGCTGCCCCTTATCTAGCTGACCAAGCTTATCTGAAACTCAAAGGGAAACTGGGTAGAGTTGTTGACTTTAGAACAGCAGGAGAGTATGAGCAGTTTACTGGCCGATTTACAACAGTAAACCATTCATAAGAGAAATACGTGGGCTGCCATTGAAGGCCTTCTTCTGAAAATGCTACTTACCTGGCCATTATTATGACTGCTTAGCTTTAAGGGCTTGTTTACACCATGTCCGCTGAGCTGTGTTTTTCTGCACACCACCGCACATGTAGGGTGTGAACAGGGCATATACAACACCAATTTTGCTATATGCCCTGTTGTTTATACCATACATGCAGGTGGTTTGCAGAAAAACACAGCTCAACAGACATGTTCACACAAGCCCTAATTTTTACAAGGTTATTCACAAAAGCGTAAAGAGTTTGAAGAAGGCAGGAGAAGTGAACAATCTATTCCAAAATACCCGAACTGGAAAGTGACCTGAATTGGAGAATTTTTCCAAATGGCCTAAATTGTTCCCTTCTCCTGCCTTTTCCAAACTCTTCACCCTTTTGTGAATAACCCTGTTAGAGTCACTAACCAGGAACAAGTACACAGGAGAGTCAGAATTCCTTTACCTGCATACATATTCTAGATCAATGATAGAAGTATCTGTGAAATCTAGGAAACTAGCATTTTCAGAAGTGATCAGCAATGGCAGCATTCATTTTTCTGTCATTAAAGATTTAATTTAACTTAATAAATATTACCTTGAAGGGTTGTGGACTTGTGTTTAAAACAGCAGCAGCAACACTTTCTATACAAGTATAAAAGGGTTCCAGGTGGCTGCCAAACCGTCACAGTATCCCACAAAAAGTGATCATTAGTATACATTGTCATCAAATGTCTGTTTTATGTGCGATATAATTCAATTTTGAGAACAGGCCAATAATAGAAGAGTGCTGTGCATGTCTCTTATGGATTGATATGCCAGAATAGTTTCAGTGAAATGTATAGATCATTTAGTGCCACAGCACTCCCATTAGACACGTCACATCAGACAAAGCATTCCGGTCATACAATTGATCAGTAACAGAACACCCCAGCTAAGAAATCGTCAGAATCAAATCCCAAAGCTGTCCCGCACATTTAATTATCAAACGGTCAATTACAAAAAGGAGTAAAAAGGCTATAAAATTTAGAGTAGAAAATCTTGCTGCCACTGGAGGCCACATGATATACAAATAACCCCCGGCAGGCTTCTTGAGGAAAAGAGCCCCAAGATACGGTCCCACTTTGTCACGTGGCATTTTGCATTTGTTGTTGAGAACTTATTGGCTTTTACTTGTTTTTCTCTTTACATTGACCCTTTTGTAGCCAAAAGACTCATTCAAGTTATCAGTTAAATATGCATCCTAGCACAGGACTCCAGCACCACAAATATTCTTGAGGTAGACCCACCTCTGCTCTATTGCATGGGGCACACCTCACAGTCCTCACTCTGATTGGACACTTTGGCTTCATCGTAACACCTGGCCTTTAGTTCTGAGTGACGAGCTCTCAGGTAAAAACTGCTGTTGACCTCAACAACAACATAAATGCCTAGCAGAGCCTTCCACATCTCACAGTTAAACCAGTTATCCCTTGGTGCCAGGATGTTTAGATATATTGCACCAACCAAATGTAAAAATCCACTGTTGTGTGGTGCAAAGGAATGTTGTTCAATATAGGCACCTGATGTGTTATTGTTAAATGCCACGGGGCAGTTTTAGACTATTGCAGCGGTTGTCACACTGTTCCCAAAGAGAAGAACAAAAAGGTGAACATTTTGGTCATATACACTTTTTCCTGTTTATTCAGGAACATCATCCCCCCCAAAAAAGCATGATTGGTGCAGTGAATCACCGTTTTTCACAAGGCATCACAGTTGACTTGGTCATGTTAACTCAAAATGACTGGCTAGAAATATTGACTCAAAACCACTGTCTAGAGGACCAGATGTTTGCAGTTCTTCTGTTACCATCCTCTTTTGTAGAGCTAGAGCATCTTTAGTAGTGATCATGAACAGTAAAAAATGAACCAAAACACTACTAATTTCTAACAAGAGTCTACGATTCCTCTTTACAAGTCCAAGCTCTGTGATTATGCAATTATCTTTTGAGGGATATCTACAGATGCTCTAAGGAATACAGCGTTGTCGCGTACATAGTTACGTTTCCGTATGTCCTCATGTGAGATAAATTTAGGGTATCCAAAACCAAGTGTACTTTCATCCAAGGAATTTCGGGAGCCACTTGGTTTCTGGAAGTTCTTCCAGTTGGGGTCAGGGTTGAAAGTTTCAGTGATGTGTTGGGGTTTGGATAGCGATGGATCGCTCTGGTCAAGAAGGGAAAAAGTAACACGATAGGAGAAAGGCCATTCTAGTAGGCTGTCATACTCTCCAGGAAGGACCCTAATGTACACTGAAAGGTAGCTGCCTTCGCCACTGCCATTCCCGTTCAAGAATGCAGAAACCTGGAGCTTGTAGCCATATCTGTGCGTGTAGAAGGGTGGACTAAATGACTCAAAGTTGCCTCTGACTTTGGCTTCCTGCAGTTTGCGAGAGTAGTCACTGATCTTCCAGATAAGAACCCCTTCACTGCTCACAGATAACTCTTCCACCTGCTTCCTCAGGTCTTGAATCTCCTGTCTTTGCCGGCTTACCAGAGAAGACATCATACTGAGGTGGGACCTCATATTCTCTTCCAGGTGCCTGCTCATGCCAAGCTTGGGGCACTAAAATGCAAGTTGAGACACAACAAAATTAGCTTTGTTTTTAATATGTCTTTCATACCTTTAGGCTAACAGTCCTGTTTAGCAAAGTAACATATAAACATAATTACGTATCCTACATTAAAGTATATGTACACTCTAACACTGAACTGTAGGTCTGGAAAATCTACCACCGAAGAATTTTCTTATATCTGTTCAATTAGTGCAAAAAATACCTGTAAATCCTGCCAGAAATCTTGTAAACATATCACTTTTGGTGCTCTCTGTGCTGACTATTATCAGTTAGCACTATTCCCGATTCTCTCTGTTGAGTAAAAACACCTGCACTTTTATAAAGAATTTCTGTAGTCCTTTCGTAGGACGACAAAGCTGCTTCTACATGGATTCAGCGCAGCAAGTGAGCATTGTCTATGAAATGTGCTACTGGCACGCTCACCAGGTGAAAAAAAAATGAGAAAAAACCCCAGAAAAAATAATGCAGCCACCACATCTGAGGATGTAATATATAACATACGGTATTTGTTCCTGGGCTTAGATAAACTTCAATGGAATATAAAAGTTCCTTTGAGAAATTGCATAAACAAACACACCTGGCAGATGTAAAAGATTCATAATTTACAATCAGTTATATATTTGCATCCTTTACGTGACTTAACAGTAATAAAAGGAACTGAAAATTATTTTCAAATATTCATGTTAGGTAACTACTAGTTCTTAACTTATTTAAGCGGTCAGTTCAAAACTGAACATTGCTTTAGATGTTACAGCATCAGCAGCTTCTGTGATAAGGTCCTCCTGCTGAGATCAAGGCACTGCCCAACTCTGCCGCATTATCTCAATCTTCCTCTTGTAGCAAATGAGTCCGCTTACTCCACAGCTACACTCTTTCTATTGTAAAATGAATGAAGGAGTGATCGTTTCTGTGGTAAGTGGGTAGACTTGGAAGCGAAGGTTCAAAGATTCATAGTATTGGAATCCCACTGAGATCTAAAACCAGTGGGTGATTGAAGCTGCAGGCATCTAAGCGAATCTGCAATATCAAGGACTTTAAGAAATTGATTTAATAGCACACAGAGCGACAGTATGCGGCGACCCACACCAACCAGAAAATCAGCTGAGACATTACTGGTTACTATGTGTTATGAAACACCACTGCTTTTTTCACTTTATCAATAAAAAGAAGCCAACATAAGCTATTCACTTATATATAATTATTCATATATATTATATAATATGTATAATGTAATCTCCAGTTAGGTATGATACAAATATGAACTTGCTATTCTGTATCTGTGGCTGAGAACACATATTTATGATCAACCTTTGTTTAACCACTACTTTAGAAGATAGTAGAATGTAATGGGCAGATATTGTGCAATTTCATATAAAATGAGTATGTTAAATTGATGTCTCACCTTGTGTTTACATCCGGAATCTTTGAAAGGGCAGAGCACTAATGCAGAACTGCAACTGTCCTTTAGATGCCCACTCAGGTCTTCTCTGGCAACATTTGCAATGCCACACTGGTTGGGACAGGAGACAGGGTACCGAGGACACTGGCACTGGTGACTCTGCAAAAATAAAATTCAATCATACACTAATTCAGATAATGTTTGGGCTTACAGCACAGTCATTGTTTTACAAGAATTCTTAGCAGCAGTACACAAAATGCAATGCAAAATGGTTAAATTCATAATTTTGGAAGGGTACGAAGAAGTCACTACATATATTATTAACTAGAGGATCATGGTAGCTGGTGGGGAGGGAGGATAAAGAAAGCAAGAGAAAGAACAGCTACCAATGTGTCTACACTGAGGTTTGAAGAGAAAAAGGGGCCCTTTTAGTGAACTGTGAGTGTGTGAAGGAAAAGGGCCATTTGTAATCTTGGTGCTTGGGGCTGGGCCATCTCTGAAGGAAACCATCCGCTTACAAAGCTGAAAACCTTTTTGCATTACTTCATGCATGTAAATTACTACGTAACCTCCACAAAGCAGCTGTCTGCAGTTTCCTGTAATGACAAGCTGTCACCTTCAGTGTCTTCCTGCCGTAATTAGTGTTAGTAAATAGATGCGGCCATGATTTACAGGAATGGAATAAAGTGTATGCCTTTTCTATACAGAGTGAAAATATATGTAACTCTTAAGATGCTAGTTACAAATAGGGCCAGATCAAACAACGTTTGAATATAGCAAAACTAAGATGTATATTCCAGAAATTATTTTTTGGAGGTAGCTGGGCTTAGATGACAGATAGCTTGGGGCCTAGTCAGGGAGTCAGTGTCAGGAACCCACAACCATTCATTATGACTCGCACTAAAAACATGTCATAGCAAAGTTCAAAATTATTACAAACCTTAAACGTAGGCATTTTAGGAATACCATATGTATATATAGAGAGGAAGAGAATCCGTCTTCCCTAAATCATTGAAGAGTTTAACATTCCAGTCATACATGTAAACACTAAAATTTTCCTGTCCATATGGAATTCCCAAAACAGAGGCAGCAGACCAGTCAATACTCATTAAAGTGGCCTATGAAATCATTGGGGACCACCAACATCAGCACAACATGAGGCAATTGTGCCTAATACCCAAGACATGTTGTCGATTCATAAGGAACTGGAAGGGTACATTTTGATTCACCCAGAACATGGCTGCACTCTTCATCATAATCACTTCCATATTATAAGAACCCACTATAATTATTACCTGAATAGTGTCAAATACAAACTCCTTGCTGCAGTAAGGGCATGGCTGAGTACGCTTGGGACACTCCGACAGGGAATGCTGGGACAGGACACGTCTCATCATACGAGCGCCACACTTGTTCTCACAATAAACGCTCTCTTGAGGACAGCAGCCTTGGTGTTCCTAGAGGAAGAGAGGGTTGGAACGGGTTAAAGCACAGAACCATTGGAGTATTCTCTGCTGAGACAAACGGGCACGATGTACTCAGCGTGAGAAAGATGAGAGGCATTTAAATGTTTGACAGTGCTAATACATCAAAGATTATCGCTCCAAATTGTAAATGTGTAAGTCATTAGCTGGAAATGTGAAATATTAGGCCAGGAAGGGGGCTCAGAAGTAGTGGCCTGCATTACAAGGATTTCCAGGGGTAAACCAAACTGCCTTATATGGTTTCAAACATAGGAAATTTAGGATTAAATACAATCATTCAAGTGTAAATGTTTACTGGAACATATGGATATAATTCCAACAAAGAAATGTACGGTCATCTTGTTTTTTTTAAGGGCAACAAAAAATAAAACACATCTC